AAAAAAAAAAAAAAAAAAAGAAGACTATTCATCTAAAAGTCGAGTATTTTATTTGCATTAACGACAAAGAAAATCAAGTAACACCGCAATTCTAAGATGTCGAATTAGAAGATGTTGGGAAAATCAAAGGTAAGAATCTGATCTTACTGTTCAATGTCTCATGGTTTACAGAAAGACGCACATGATAGATATATACGTGTAGTGTAACACGTATCTGCGCGAGGGGATAGTATGTATACCGTAGGGGTGAAATTTAAAGGGAGGGGCTGCACGAAAATGGCTGTTATACACAGGGTAGGACGACTAGAAGAGGGCAAGTGACGGTTCATCCCTGTCTTCCACATTGACCAATTGACATTATTTTACGACAATTGATACGGTTACCTAATCGATAGCTATTATGTGGCGGCTAAGAAGCAATCTTCGTGCTCCTCGTCACCCATCCCCAGATCTGCGTATCTGACATATGATTCGCTTCGGGAAAAGGTAAACTATCTCCCTTATTTGCCTTCCCTTTCTGCACGTTCAGAACTTCCAGAATTCGCTCGCTTACAACCTTGTGCTCGTCGTCACGTCGCGCCTGTGAAAAGAATCCCACTATTTTTCCTCCCCCCCCGAGTAAAGTGTGAAACGTGAAAAAGGGATAGGCGCAAGTGACAGAAAAACATTTTAGAGATAAAGTATGAAATAAAAGAGGGAAAGAAAAAAGGGGGAAAAACGGCTTCTGCGAAAGTAGAGCTACATTTCGTAGTCAGATTGATTGTAGTATCATTCGCGCAAGAAACACGGGATTATATTTATCTAAAATTGTCAACAATGTGAGGCTAATTTGTAACAGTACTCCGCGAACCGTAATTGTTACGCGAGATACATTTTATCAACGATCGAATTGTTACGCTAATGTCAATTGGAACCGATTGCAGATTGGAACCTTACGCGGATGATGTAAGTCGTAAGAGCTAAGAGCAAACGAGTAACGAAGTGAAGAGAAAAACAGAGAAAAGCGAAGAAGATGTTCGGCTTCCCTTGGAGAATTCTACTCCTCTTTCTGCTGGGTGGCTGTTTCTGTTTCTGCTCCATGGATCTCGCCAGATCCGCGAGAGCCATTAAGGGACGATTTCGAACATCTTACGCTGCATGGCGTGTCTTGCTGTGTCTGACACAACCGCAAGGCTCGCTGAAGACAGACGTGCAGAAGGCATGGGAGAAGGCGAGGCTGGAGTCGTCTCACGCGGACATGAACGTATCTTTCATAGAGGCACCACCAAAGACAGACTCACTGTCCCATCCTCTGTCATTGTTAAACAAATTCTGCAACGAGATCAAAGGTGGGAAGACCGTGTTGAGCCTCATCATTGGAGGAGGATCTGCAGCGAAATTTCTCGTGACAGCTGCAGCTTCGTTGAATATTCCAGTCCTGTGGCTACCATTCACTCACGAGGATTTCCTCAGACAGGTTTGTTGTAGTCATAATCGAGCCTAAATATTTCTAAAAGGTAAATCTCTAAACTTGATAGTTATTATAAACTTGAGATTCGGATTTACAGGGGAATATCGGTCAATACGAAAGTCGTGTAGGTTCTAGTACGAAGGAAGTGGGAGCGGCTGCCGCTGCCTTGATGCACAGAGCGAACTGGCACGCGTTCACCCTCCTCATAGACACCACTTTGCTACCAATGACTCATCTTTTACACGCGAATCAAACAACATTAACGCCTAGAACGATCATACACCTTCCAACGAACGACAAGACCTTGAGGATGAGATTGAGGAGAGTTGCCGAGGAGGGTGGCAGCGGAGGAATCATAGTGATGGCTTGCGACTTGAACACCGCACGAAAAATCTTAGCCGTGGCTGGCAAGTACGAGATGCTCGCGGGCAGATTTCTCTGGCTCTGGTTGGACCTGAAAGCGGAACTGAGACCCACCGAGCCAAATGTAATCAGCTCTCACATTATACACAGCTCAAGATCGTCGATAGCAACGAATGAAAATCCTTCACCGGTGCAGAGTATAAGCCGAGGCGCGAATCTCGTAGCTGAGAGCCAATTGTCGTTGAATTCTTTGCCCAGTTTGGCCAACGAGATACATCGACTGCAAGAGTACAGGTGGCAAAGCGAGAGGTCTGTGAACAAACAGGAAGACAGAAGCTTTAATTTCGACGACGACGACGACGACATTAGGATAACGGACAAAGATTTGAACTCGAAGGATTTCATGCCAGTTGGTATGCTAGTGTTGAGACCTTCTGGCATAAAGTTAATGGGCAACGACCCTATATTGTCCAGAATGATCAGGGAGACCTCTCAGGCGTTGGACGAGACGTTTCTAGAAGTGAAGCCGAGACTGAATCGTTTGGGAGAGGCTCAGCTCGACGAGAACTTCATACCGGAGTGTTTCCCAAAGAGCAACGCCAAATTCCTGGCGAGCAAAATGAGGCACAATGTTTCCAAGACTCTGACTCAGAAATTACGGTCATCGGTGAGTCAACTTTCCAAAGAGAAAGCCAAGTTTCATTTGCTGAACTTGCAGGCGATCAGATTCCCTGGCAACAAGACTCAATTGAGGCACGTGTTTAAAACAAGTGAAATTCATTATTATATAAATCCAAATCTAAATGGTGTTGGAAATAATACATTATATTCCTCTGTTCCATATTCCATGCAGATGGACCAAAGTCGGCACAGTGAAAGCTGGGAGAGAGGTTCATCTGGACACGATAATTTGGCCAGGCGGTGGGATCGTGCCAGCGTACTTGGAACAAGGTGGCGAGAAGATCGGCATGCCGATGTATCGCATAGTGACAGCACTGGCACCGCCGTTCACCATGGTTACGAATCTGCAGGAAGGTCTTTGCTTGAGAGGGCTGTACTGTCGTCAAGGAGACACCCTAATGTGTTGCTACGGTCTAAGCATGGATCTAATGTCGCTGATATCGCGCGAATTAGGATTCCGTTACGATCTGTATCTAGTGAACGACGGCCTGTTCGGCAAAAGGAACGGTAGCACGTGGAACGGGATCATGGGAGAGCTGGTCAACGGTCGAGCTCAATTAACCTTCGCACCGCTCAGCGTGTCCGCTCGCCGAGCGGAGGTAGTCGACTTCACGACACCGTACTACTTCAGCGGTGTGAGCTTCCTCACCGCGCCAAAGCTCAAGTCCGAGATCTCGCTGTTCGCTTTCCTCTTCCCATTCAGCATGGAACTGTGGATCGCCGTTTTCACGTCACTGAACTTCACTGCCATAGCAGTGGCACTGTACGAATGGTTCAGCCCGTTCGGCCTGAACCCATGGGGTAGACAACGAAGCAAAAACTTTTCGATAGCCTCTGCTTTGTGGGTGATGTGGGGCCTTCTCTGCGGCCATTTAGTCGCATTCAAGGCACCGAAGTCTTGGCCTAACAAGTTTTTAATCAACATTTGGGGCGGTTTCTCCGTTATATTTGTGGCCTCGTACACGGCCAATATAGCTGCCCTCATCGCGGGCCTCTTCTTCCACCCTGCAGTGAGCAATTACCACGACAAAAGCGTAAGCTTAGATTTTAGAATTTCCATGAATTTCCTCTGAATTATCTCTGAACGAACCACTCGACGAATGATAAATATATACCTCTGTTGCAGTTGTTGTTGCAAAAAGTTGGCGCACCAAGAGCGTCCGCCGCCGAGTACTACGTACAGAAAGCAAACGCGCAGCTGTGGTCTCACATGGCCAGATATTCCTTGTCGAACATCGCCGAGGGCGTGGAGAGATTGCGAAATGGTAGTTTAGATATACTCATAGCTGATACTCCTATTTTAGATTACTATCGGGCGATAGACGACGGTTGTCGGCTACAAAAAATCGGGGACACCATAAACGAGGACACGTATGCCGTTGCCCTCAGCAAGGGCCATCCTTTGAAAGAAAGTATATCTAGAGTTATAGCCAATTACACGAGCACTGGACTACTGGACATCCTGCAAGAGAAATGGTAAACTACTCTGAGTAAAAAAAAGAAAACAAAAAAATTGGAAAGTAGATGCCAGATCGATGGTTGTGAGAACAATGTGTTGAAACAGGTATGGTGGTTTACCCTGCATTCGAGGAAGGGAAGGAATGGATGCCGGCTTTGAGCACGAACAGGGAAGCCAACCCAGACCACTGGGTGTAGCCTCTGTCGCCGGTGTATTCTGTCTCCTGGGGATGGGCGTTGTCCTTGGTACAATTATTTTAGCTGGAGAACACTTGTTTTACAAATACACGTTGCCCAGACTGAGGCACCGACCGGAGGACTCTATATGGCGCAGCCGTAACGTGATGTTCTTCTCGCAGAAACTTTACAGATTCATCAACTGCGTGGAACTGGTGTCGCCACACCACGCTGCCAGAGAACTGGTCCACACAGTACGGCAGGGGCAGATTGCCTCCCTGTTTCAGAAAAGCGTCAAACGAGTAAGTGACTTTTCGCTTCCACGGTAGGCCGGTACGTTGCTCACATATATCTACAAGGTGACCATGTTCCAGAAGGAACACGAACAGCGTCGAAGGCGCAAAAGCAAGGCACAATTCTTCGAGATGATACAGGAGATTCGAAGGTGAGTGCCAAAGAAAGTGGCAAAGACGCTATAGGACTACTCCGATCCAGAAATAGACATTCGACACTCGCTCGTGATGCAGAGGCCTGATCGGTGAATCATTTCAATTTCACAGAGTCCAACAGGAGGAGAAGATAGAGACTGTGTCGGAGGAGCAAGAGAAGGTGAAAGAGAAAGAGGAGAAAGCTGTGAAAGGAAGAGAACGAAGCAAGAGCAAGAGCCCGTTGATGCCTCGCAGTCCAAAGAGATCAGAGAAGAGCAGAAGTTCCATCAACTTGTCAAGTTCCAGGCTGGGATTGTCTCCTATCAGCCTGGAGGCTCCCATGAAGCCTAGAGAATTCACTCTGAGCAGCACCAACCTCAGGGCAAGGAGTCCCCTGGAAACGGTAGGTCGTCGCCTGAGCCACGGTGACGGTGGATCACCACCACCGCGTCTTGGTTCGAATTTCGGTGGCAGCGCGACGCTGAGACCCCTGGCACCGACCAAGAGCGACTCTACCGGAAGTACGACGCCAACGGTCAGGGGCGAATCCACCGGGGGAAGTGTGCACACACCCAGATACGCGAGGAGCCCGGCAAAACGAGGACAATCATTCCCAGTGTTTGCTACATTGAGGCCACCGCACTCGTCCAGCCACCAAATGTCCAAGAGCCCGTTGCTGTCTCCTAATAACGAACTAACATCCGCCATCGGACGGAAGCTATCCCGTGAATGGGGATCCGGGACTCTGGATATCAGCCGATCCTCCGAGACGGTCGCTGGCGGATGTTCCTACACACTGAACCCGGAGGCGACGTTATCCTTGGGCCGGCCGTCCCACGAGAAGATCCAGGACGACGCTCTACCCATCAAGAAACCTATAAGAAGAGCCAGAAGCCACGAGAACAGGGACACGGGCAAACTGATGGCCGATCTACCATCGCCGAGACTCACCGCCCAACCGGTAGTAGGAGGCCGATCGGTAAGCGAACGAACTAAAAAGCAGTTAGAGTCCGAATTGAAAGCGATTTTAAGTGCCAGAGCTCATCATCGCGATCTTCATCCCCCTTGATAGATGACTGTCTACTTCACCTAACCTTTCATAAAGAGACAGAGAGATAGAGTTCTTGCAAATGCGAGCCATAAAAAAAGCTTCGGGGATCGTTGCCTCTGAGGGGCTTTGGTTGATTTAAGCAATATCAGATTTATAGGTCAATTTGTAGAAGAGAAAAAAAAAATCCGACAAACAGTAAAAAAAATATATATA